TAGTCTTTCTTTTGTTAAAAATGTTCAAATACCTTTGCTACTTATATGCATTTCATATATATATATATATATATACACATACATACATACATACATACACACACACACACACACACACACACATTTAATTTTGTAAAGGTGCCCATTCTGCTGATATTAAGGTGGTATTAAATGGCTAATATATGGTTGGATATATGTGGTAATCTATGATCAAATGCATTTGAAAAATTACAGTTTTTCTTAAAATAGCGAATTTTGAAATGAGTATTGTTTGAATACTTGTATTAAGATTTGACCTCATTCAAATGTAAAATAATTGTTTTCAGTTTGGATTGTTTTGGTCACCACTTGAAAATTGAAGTGTCTATACCTACCTTTGCTGTCACTGAAAATCAACAGATCATTTTCTTGACTGATTGAGCAAAATTTGCACTGGTAATCATTTATTTTGTTAGCCATTGGGTATAGGGAAAAGAAAAATATCCGTATCAATTCAAAACCAGTAGAGGGTTTTACAGAGTGCAGAGTTCCTATTATCAGTTGTCCAGTGTTTGGCACTGTAGGGCAGAGAGGAGAGAGATGATAGCCAGAGCACTGGATAAGGTAACTTTCTGCTGGAATTCAGCAGATATCCAGTTTTAATTCTGAATGTGTTTGCATGTTTATAGCTAATAGTCAGTGGACATTTCTGATGCTTAATTTTCTTGGCTGATATAAATACTAGCCATCACCACACGGGGGCACCTCCTTTAAGTAACATGCTCTGTTGAGCTCAGAAAATCTTGATACAATATAGTCAAAACTAAAGTAACCAGATACAGTTCTACAAACCATCACTTAACAGGATTTCTTTAACCAATGCAACCATAGATAATCCACACCATCATATCTACTTAATTTTAATGTAAGGGAAAATTATACTTTTATAATATTCAGATGCAGTGCATTTTAAATGATAGTTTTTTGTAATAATTCTGTTTATAGGAGGTGAAGTGGACTAAAAAAAGTCTTACTGTACTTTTAAGTTCATAACACTTGCGATATAACATAATAAACAATAGCAAATAGTCATAATACAATTTCACTGCTAGCAGCAGCAAAATTTCTTCATGAAATGTATATAATTATCTTGGAGAGAAGAACTGCAAATTATTACCATACTTAATCCAAGTGTATTCAGAAGTAAATCCTACTGATTGTCACAGAATATTCCCCATAAGCATGACATGGTTAAGGTAAGTGCAAAAGACAGAACGAGGCTCTTCCTCGAGCTAAATAAATAACTTACATAGAAATGGAGTCACTAATGATCAATAAAATATGTCTCAGTTGTATTGGTAAAATACAGTATATTTTAAACTATTCAAATTTTCCTTGAAAAGATTGACTATATATCTAGCTGAGTTGGAATTTATGCCTCTCCTGGTTTGACTAATCAAGGCTTCCTTTAATATCTGTATCCAACTGAAACTACCAGCTGAGGTCATTCAGTGGCAAGGGGTGGAGTATCAGAAGTGATATTGATGCTAGTTATACATCTTTACCTCTAGACAGGCAACTGCTGCTGCTGAGGTACTGGCCCAGCAGCTGGAGGTTGTGAGGAGCCAGGTGGGGAAGAACCAGCGCCAACTCTATTTTAGCAAGACAGAGTGGCTTTAGGGATTTTCTCCCCCAAGGTCTAGTGATGGGTCATAAGGTTCACTTCTCTGGACTAAGTCAATGCACAGTTTTGGAATTGTAGTTAATTATAAGCTGATGGGGGACAAGTTTTTTTTAAAGATGTCTTGAGTTTTTACACATCAATAAATTTAGTTTACACATCATGGAAGGAAATTCTTCTACTACATTTCATATTTGTCAGACCCTACTTCAGCAGATGCCTACACTAGAACTGGATACCATGAGATGTAGAAAAACTTAAAAACAGGTGAAAGAACAAAGAGCTTGATAAGAAAACTGGAAGATAAACCTTTGAGCCGAGGGATCTTGGATGTTTAACCTGAAACGGTAGAACTTCCCAGTTGTTGACAATGGAACCATTTACTATGGCTTTTACACTGGCCGCGTTCTAGCAGAAATCAGACAAGCCAACTTTGAATTCATCCATTAATCAGAAGGTTGGATTCAATCAAAAGACCTCTTCCGCACAGAATTCTAGTACACTACTTATTACTACAAAAATACATTGTTCTCCATGATTATCTAGGGAAAGAAGCACCAATATATCATATAAAAACTCATTCTGGGAAATATAAAAGTCTATATAAATCTTATCAGTCCATCTTTCCAATTTCTTTGCAAAATGCAAATAAAACTACTCCGCACATTTCAGAATCACCTTGTGTAGAGATAGTCCTTGACTTGTGACTAGTTGTTCAACAGCCATTTGAAATTATAACAGTCGTGGAAAGGTTGTTTTACAGTCTAAAGCACTTTCAACCATTATAAAATGTGTTGCCCCCTTCCCCTCATGGTCAGAAGCACATTCTGGGCATTTGGCAATTGGCTTGCATTTATAATCAATTACAGTGTCCCATGGTCACATAACTGATTTGCAATGGTTTTTCCTGGTTTCTGGCAAAAAAAAAGTATTCCCTTGAGAATGGATTCACTTAACGGCCAAGTGATTTACTGAAAGACCAATATAAAAATGGTAAAAAAATCAACACTGGTCACATAGGGGCCATGAGTTAAAGCCACAATGATTTATGATCAAAATTATGTTCATAAGTTAAGAACTATTTGTATGAAACATGGTACATATGTTCGTACACACCCCCAATAACACTTGCACAGGCTGGGAGGAGAAAAAGGTTATTCAGTGTGAACAGACACACATCACATCTGTCAGCATTTCCTTAGAGGTATCTTATTCTGGCTTATACATGACTGCTAAAGGTAAACAAATATTGGAAAAGAATACAGACAACTACCAAGTGCAATCAAGTGATTTTCATTGCTTCAGTTCACATTTAGTGTATAACTTCTAGTTTTCAGTTCAACCTTAAAAAAACATGCATTGATCATTTTTATTATACAATAATTTACATTAAAACTTACCTAACATCAATTGGAGATGTTTCTGAAAAATATTTAAATTACAAAAGCTGCTTATTTAAAGAATCTAACAGATTAAGTTGAGCCTTAAAAGAAAATGTACAAATATAATAGTACCATGACATTACTCAAAAAAAAGAGTAACTATATATTACACACAAAGTACAAATACCATTTTAGCTAGAAAAATACATAATTACAAAAAATAAATTAATTTGGAACCAGAGCCTTAAAATAAGGTTGTAAATAAATAGAACAAAAGTTACATGAAAATCAACTGTGTTGCACAATATTTTATAGTGTACTAGTAATTTGTCAGTTCTAGAATCATCATAGAATGTGAATTTATACATTTCCAAAGGAATCAAAAACGCAAGACAGTTCTATGAAGAGCCAATGATCATGGCAGAATGAAGAGGCAGCAACTTAACCAAGCTGTTTGTAATTCCTCTCCAGGCAAGAACACTTGAGATCACCCACAAGTGTTCCAGACTTGTGCATCTTGTGAGGGGACTACAAGACAGCAATCACCAGTGGCTTTAGAGCTCTGACAAATGAAGGAATAGCCACCTTGCTCAAATCGTAGTTTTAAAAAGTGCCTTAAAAGACACTGGGTTTGCATACTTTCCTTTTGTAATCACCATCAGAAATTGAAAAGAATGACATGGAAAATGATGTTATGTTGAGCATACAAAAAAAAAACCCAGATCATTTTTTAACAATTAAAGGATGTATAAATAATAAATCAATAGAATGAGCTGGATGATTTTCCCATTTTGGATTTACAAGAGAGACTTGTTAAAGCTTTGAAGAATTTTGTGACAGGAGAAAAAAGTGAAAAGAAAGCAAGTTCTAGGACATTTGAAGGGATTAAAGATCAACATTAGAAGTAAAATGAAGGAATATAAATTTGCTTTATTTAATCTAAGTTAAAATAGATATGTTATCTCTGGTAATCCTTAATTGACTTTTGTTAACACCAAGACTTAAATGATGAGGTTTTATTTGTTTCTAGATAATAGATAGGATATGGGAAGAAGATATAGTTATTTTTAAAGGGTAATGTGTTACTAAAATTGTTTATATTTGTTGTGTTGAAGAGGGGAGTCATTTCTTTATATATATTCTTTTTCTTTATTATATTTTTTTCTTTTCTATTTTTTCTTTTCTATTTTTTCTTTAATTGTATTGTTTTTATTGTTGCAATTTTAATTGCAATTTTTAAATAAAATTACTATTAAAGAAATGTAGACATGAGACCTGAAAGTGGCTTTTAGCATCGCTTGTGCTTATCAAGTGGTTCTCAAATTATGGTCAGAGAGATATACACGAGGTGCTCTGCAGGTTGAGGAAAGTACGCAGATATTTGTAAGTGGTTGGGATGGCAAAAGTACAGAGGGGATGGGGAATCCTGCACACTGGATTGTTGCAAGCGAGAGAATATTTTCTTTCGCCATAGTCACAAAAGAAGTATAGCACCTTTCACTATGAATCAAATGAACATTGTATTTATAAGGATAAATACATACTGCACATACCCAACATGCTATTTCTTTTTTCTATTCCTTTTCAGTGCAAACTAAATGTTATGCAAAGTACAGAAAATGAGTTAGAAGTGGTGTGCAAAAAGGAGAAAAGAAATCCAATTAAATCTAGTTTGCACAATCCTCATTTGCTGTAATTCTGCATTCTTTTCTACTCTTGCAAACCACCTTAGTTTCTACCACATTGGTGCACATTGAATTTACATATTATTTCTTCTCATTTTGCATCTTAACTGAATCAATACACGGCATGTATGCCTACTTGACTTATGACTGTAATGGAGCCTGTCCATCATGGTCATAACTAATGATGGTCGTAAAATGACTCATCCACATGACTGATCTAATCTTATGAGTTTTTTGTGGCAGCTGTATAGCAACCATTGCGATCATAAAGAAGCCACCATCATCACTAAACAAATGCTGAAGCTTTTAAGGAAAGCAATGGTTTTCCATACTATAGGGTTTGTTTTTGTTTTTTTTTTGCTGAAAACATGAAGTAAACTCCAGTTTACATACTTTCTCCGGCGTCTTTTAAGTTATCGAACTACCCTGCCACAGGGTGTGGGTGTATGCAATGTACATAAAAAACAGATGGAACTTTGATTGTATCTTTGTGGCTAGCATCTTTATATTTTTGCCCATATTCTGTGCACCTCTGCCAAGAGGAAGCTTTTGGAACTGCCTACCTGAAATGGGCATTCTTGGAAAAAAGAGACCAACCAATTCAAAAAGAATATGGAAATGGTTCTTTGACTCATGTGCCCATTCAAGGAGCAATATTTGTGAAGTTAAGTTTTATATTTAAAAAATCATGCCTATTTTCAAGTTTGCATTGCCAAAATTAGCAACAATTAGCCCAAGGTACACATTCCTATTTGATAATGCAGTTTGGTTACTTTGGCAACAGGTGTTTTCCTTGCTCTACAAATAACAGGAACTCCAAATGATGTAGCTTCAGCCAAACAGAAGGCAAACTATTTAAACTGATAGCACAAAATATATACATCTACAAGTACTAATAGCAGTCAAAATAAGACAATCTTACTTTAAATTCCTGCCATGCTGCAAACATTTAACTGCATACACTTAAATACACTCAAAAAACAAATTGGCTTTATCCTTTTCCTCAATATGTCTTTTTTCTAAGCTACAAGCAATCTCCATGTTCCCTAGTGTCCAGTATGTGATTTCGTTGAATGCTGAGGAATTCAATCTTCTTATGAGCTTGTTTAAGACGCAGCTTGAGAGCTTCATTCTCTGCAGTCAGAACATTTCTTTCCTAAACAAAAATATACCATCAGAACAAAATAGTTTCTGAATGTTTAGTTTCGTTAGTAGGAACATTTGCCTGAATGGCATGTTAGTTTAAGAATTATGTGACTTGAGCAGTAAATGGAATGAAAGATACATAGTTGTTTGCCCAAGAGGAGTGCAATTTCCACAATTGACTCTGAAAAGAGAGAGCTTGGTGAACATATGCTTTCATTTGCAACAAGCATCTTCTAAGTAATTGGAAGAAAACATCCTTATTTTAACTGATGAGTCTTCTTCCTACCCTGAGTTTTCCATTCTGCAGGAAAGGAGGAAGGTGGTGATGGTTAATGGTTCTCCATCAGTGGTGGGTTTCAAAAATTGTTCGAACCTACTCTGGGTGTGGCCTCCTTTGTGGGAGAGGCTTGCCACCCATGTGACCAGATGGGAGTGGCTTGCCGTCCATGTGACCAGATATAAAGATGCCGACAACACTTGTCAGAACCACCTTAAATTACCTCACACATAGCACTGGCTTGCATAAGAATATGATGTAAACTTGTTTTTTAAAAGGCATCTTTGGTTTGCGTTAAAACAACTTCAACACACGCAATGTTCTGATTGCACCACAAACACAGTAGTCATCCTTACCTTTCACAGAGGCACTGAGTTTTATAAATATGAGCATGACAGTGTAGAATAATCATATCCAAGGACCAGTGGTGGGTTTCAAAAATTTTTGGAACCTCTTCTGTAGGTGTGGCCTGCTTTCCGGGTCCACTGGTGGAACCTTTTCTAACCGGTTCGGTAGATTTGATGAACCAGTTCTACCGAATAGGTGCGAATTGGTAGGAACCCACCTCTGCTCTCCATGTAATGCAAATTGCATGGGTTTTTAAGTGGAGTATGGGTGTCTCAGAGGTGGGGAAAGCCTTGGAGGCTTAGAGAAGGCCCAGATTTGTATTGCAGTATCTCCCCAGCCCACATTTAGCCTACTCTAGGCCTCATCCAGTTCCTGATGCACCTCTACTCTACTTCCCATCCCTTGGGGTCCCCTCGGGTCTTGGACTTGCTTCCTTGCCTTACTGGATCCCACACCCTTCTTCCCCACCCCACACAAAGCAGTTTGTCTTGCAGCTGCCATTTTGTCCCCAACCGTTTGTGGGTCTGGGGACAAAGTGGCAGCCACATTCAGATTGCTGCCACAAGGCCCAGGTCTTTACAGTAGTATTCGGAAGCTTCTTAAGCACTGTGTAGACCTTCTAAGGTAGCAAAATGAAGCCAAATGAGGCCACCATTTTCTCCCTGCCCACAAGCAGACAGAAAAAAATGGTGGCCACATTTGGCTCTCATCCTGGGGATGCACAGTCTGCCCTCCTTCCACAATATGAGGTAGGGAGAGCTTCAAAAGATAAGCATTGTGTGTGATGAGAATATGGGGGGCCCAAGAGCTACTGGGTTCGAGTGGGATGGGATGTGGGGAGAGAAGTGGAGGGATGCTCAGCAACCTTATGATGAGTCGTAAGGGCAGATGACTGCAGGCCGCTATATCTGTTGTAACTTTGAAATGGGTTTATATGTAGTTTGGAGGTAGAATCTCTAAATGCTTATTACACAGCTTGATTGCTACCTGTATTAATTTTGGAAACATCCTTTTTAATTCAAATGGCCATTTTAAAACCAGAAATTCAAGGAGTCTAGTAATAGAATATTTGCACTTGTTTCACTTATTCTTACTGTCATAAAGGGCTGATGGTGTGCCTGAATATTTCTTTATATTTAAAAAAGTACTCTTGTTGGTATACTTCAAACTCAAAGCAACAGAGTTTACATGGTTTCCACATAGTCTCAATTATTCTGTGCCATTTTCAGAGCTGTTTCATACCTTTTCTAGTTCTTGATATGTGGGTTTTAGTGTTTGTGAATCTTCCTTCATTTTTTGACTGCAATCCTTATTCTCCCATTTCACATATGCCTTTTTCCGAGCAAGAAGTGGACTTGGACATGGACACAGAGGAGACGGCTGGAGAAAACTACTTTCAGATGATGTTCCAGACTCTCTTTGTAGATTAGACACTTCATCACCGAGCGCCATCATTGTATCAGTTTGTGTACCTTTGTGTACCACAGATGGCTTTAGCCTTACTGAGATTTTCTGGGCTGATGCTCCCATGAGCATAATAGTTCTATCTTTGCTGCCTTCATTATGTTCAACCATCTCGCCATTAGGAAATGGAAATCCTCCTTCCTCCAGCCCTAAGGTGGGGGAAAACATAGAACACAAGCATTGAGCACTGAGGATCATAATGAGCTACACAATATTCTAGAGCGCTCGGTGAAAATAATAAAGAAAATATCTAAAGAGCAGTATTTACTGTATGTCCTTAACTTTTCATCATGTAATTTGTCTATTATATTAACAATATTGGCCTTACAACTCAGTGCTTTCTGCTGAGAAACATTTAGTGATGGTTTAAGAGTATGCAAGATTTACAACCGAAAAAAGTAAGGGAATATAATGACATGCTCATAATGATCACTGCTAAATAAAGGGTACTTGCTCAGATCACACATGACGTTAAACTATGGCTTGTTTTCACCCCCATCTGTTAATGAACAACTGTGGTTAGATAACACATATTATCATAGCTATGGTTTACAAACAACAATGACTTGATTCATACTTTATATAGTATACACATGCTAAAAATCATATTCAATTTCTAAAATCTCCAGGAAGAAATGAAAAACATTCCTGCCTGACACCCCAATTTCCTGCACTGAATTGGATCAACCCAATCTATTAAAATTGAATAGAGACCTCAGTCTCAGATCTGTCATTCCAGGCTATATATGAGAATGCTGGGAGCAAACGTTTATCCTTATAGAGGACACTTGGGTTAGAAAGCCTGAACTAACAGATCAAAGCTCTACGTCAGTATAAGGCATCTTCTTCTCTCTGACCATGCTCCATTACTCATTACCAATAGCGGCTCACAATATTAAGCAAAAATATAATATCTTATTTGTAAAATATCAACTCAAAAAATTCAGCAGTAGCTTTCATTTAACTGTTCTTCAGGAATATTGGACTTCTCCAAAACATGACAGAGAATACCAGCCTGGGAAAGGCAGTTCTATAGTCTAGAAAAGGAATCAAAGTCAAGGTCAGAAAGAGAGTTTGAGGCATCTAAAGAAAAATTGGACACTGGTTCATGCAGTATGCAGGTCCTCAGTGGAAGGCAGGCTGATTATAATGTTTTTTTCTGCAGTTCTATCTGTTGAAGTCTGAATTTATCCTGTTTGGTTGGTATACCAAACCAGACAGTTATAAAAGTACAGATGATAGATTCCAAAAATTCATCTGTAGAACTGTATCAGCAGCTCCTTGGGAAATCTGAGCTTTCTGAATTGATACAGGAAAAACACATTCTTTGTTGTGCCTTTTTAATGATGGTTCTAATGTCAGATGTCCATTCAAGTCCTGGGAGATTATAGATTCCCAGAAACTTGAAGGTTTACCTATTACACATAATATGTAAAAAAAAAAACACCCCTTGATACATATCTTTGTAAATCTGTGTGAGTTCTAGCTAGAATTCAGACATTAATTATAATTAATTACTACCATTGTCTTTATGCTGAAATAATGAAAGGAGCATGTCCTTGCCCTGTAATACGGTTCTCCTTACTGCTTATTTGGTTTAGTACTGACAATTAATTGTGCTGTCTTCAAAAATAATGCATAGAAAGGGTGATCATCCACTATTCAAGGTCACACATAACATTTGTTTCCTAAGTAGATATGTCTTCTGAAGCCCTGATGAATTTTTGCAGAGCAGATGGAATTTGCTGATATATTAACAATGGAACGCCATTTTGAAAATCACTACCTATTAACGATTATTATTCTTTAAAAAATAGACAAACTATTGAGTAAAAAAATGATACCAGAATGCTCCATTAAACTGAACTTACCATGCATATGCTCTTTAAGTCCCATGGGACAGAGGCTAGATGCAAGAGCTGATGCTGGACTGTTATCCACAGCTGTCGTTTTGGGTCTTCTCTTGCATTCAAATACAACTAGATCCTTGCATTGCTTATGACAGTTCATTCCACAATCTTGAAACAAATAAAAACAAAGTCCGCTTACTAGTGAGTGGCAAAAAATAAAAAATAAATACCAATTCCACATATTAACTCCTCTTCTATTTCAACTCCTTTCCTACTTCCTAAATTAAACTGGATCTAGTTTAATGAAAAGAAGGACTAGGGGAGACATGATAGCAGTGTTCCAATTTCTCAAGGGTTGCCACAAGGAAGAGGCTATCCTCCAAAGCACCTGAGGGTAGGACAAGAAGCAATGGGTGGAAACTAATCAAGGAGAGAAGCAACCTAGAACTAAGGAAAAATTTCCTGACAGTTAGAACAATTAATCAGTAGAGCAATTTGCCTCCAGAAGTTGTGAATGCTCCAACACTGGAAGTTTTTAAGAAGATGTTGGATAACCATTTGTCTGAAATGGTATAGGCTTATCCTAGCTGAGCAGGGGGTTGGATTAGAAGACCATCAAAGTCCCTTCTAACTCTGTTATTCTGTTCTGTTCTTTCCAAATTTTGTAAGGGACCAAGGAAACGCTACATGAAGTGTAATTCAGATCTATGTAGGTTTTACCAAAGATAAGCCCTTTTCATACCATTAATGCATTTAAAGTACATTTTTAAATATAGAACAGTATTACATGGCATTGCTACTTAACTAAAAGTTAAATTACACCTTTTAATAAAATCACCTGCCAGTTAATAATCTAAGATGAACATGAACTGATGTAACAATCTCTGCATATTTCCCCGATTGTTTCTTCCCAGATTTTGCTGTTACCCAGGAAACGAAACAAAGCAATGGAGTAATATAGATGTAGATAGGGAAATTTTAGGGTTCTAAGTTATTTATGTTAAAAATACTATTGCTAAAATAATTTAAAATCTGTTATTCAAATGAAAAAAGGGATACCACAATAGACAGTTTGCCATCAAATGACAATTTAACTCAAACAAAGTTATTTACCTTTGCACCTATATCCTTGTTTAATAACACCCCAAAGCTAAAACAAATAAATAAGGAAAAACACATTACAATATTGCATTCAAGTTAAACCATACATTTTTATCTTCATTTCAACTCTTATTTCAAAGTTTAGTTTCATGAAATCATGAAAACTGTAAGATCTATTGGCTATTTCTATTTCAAAGCAGTATTTTTCCTCAATATAAGTAGGCAAAGTGCCTTTCAGGAAACCAATGAAATAAGAAAGCCTCCCCCTTCCCCTAGGAATAACAGTACAATACATTGGACACAACCTAAAATATCCCAATTCTGTATTTATCTTAGTTAATTATTAACCATTATTATTATTAACCATGCTATTTTCATACCATTTAGAAATTTTAAAATAATTCCATCTTCATTTTGACTTGTGAACTGCATTTAAAATGATCAAGAAGAGATGCAAGAGCGTCAACTTCATTTAGATAAGTTTAAGAACAGTTAGTTACTGGTCTGTGGATCATTATCAAAATTTAAATACTGATCTTTTTTCCTGATTCACATTACAGCTACTTTCAGTGCAAGGAATTCAAAAAGCTGCTTTTACCAAGAGATCTCAATAGTATTAGAATAATATTATTAAATAATCCCTGAGATTAAAAGTATTAGAAATGGGTAGCCTTCCATGCCTTCATATTCATGATCAGAATATGGTAAATAACCAAAAAGAGTTTGTGCTTGTAGTACAGAAGAAAATATATGATTTAACAGGTATAATGAATCATCTGAAGAGACTGTCAGGATTGGAATATAGCAGGGTATCAAACTTGCATCGTCAGGGTGGGGTCATGTGATGTATTGGGACTTTTCCCCCCTTCACTAAACCAGGCGTGGGCGTGGGCAGCATGTGACGCATCCGGCCTGTGGCTTGTGAGTTTGACAGCCCTTGAATATAGCAAATGAAAGATATACTTTATTCCAAGAACTAAAGCAACAGAAAGGAAGTTATGTAATTCTAATACATACATAGGCTCAGTGATGGGTTGCCAATTTTTTTACTACCAGTTCAGGCGTGCATGCACAGAAGCATCTGGGCAGGTGGGGAGAGCCTCCCGCCATCACTACTACTGGTTCGCCTGATCTGGCCTGAACCGGGAGCAACCCACCTCTGCATAGGCTGCATATATTACAGTTACATTCTACACATTCCTATGAATGAATGAATTTGGCAATGCTGTAAAAAGCATCTGGATTTTAAATTAGCGGAGGAGAAAATAAATGCAACTATTGGCATGTATGGCCCAACCAAGAAGGACAAAGCTGTCTGGAAGCAAGTACCACATCTTTGAAAGTAAAGTTGTAGTGAGGGAGGACTTTAATTACCTGCTATCAGTTGGGAGGAAATTCTAGACTTCTTTTTATGACTATTTTCTCCTACATAAGGTTGGGAAAAGCATAAGAGGATTCTTGACTTCACGTTAATCTTTAGGGAGGCTTAGAAAAGAAAGTAAAAGGAACAGGTGGAAATCATGTAATTCTGAAGTCCTTACTATTAAGACAAACTAAAACTGAGCATTCTCAAATATTCATTTTGGACTTCAAAAAACTTCAAATGTTAATAAACGTAAAGCAATGATAATAGGATCCCACAGTAGGTGAAGCTAAGAGGAAAAAAACTCAAGTTGGACGCAAATTTCTAAAGTACGAGATGTCAAAAGCACAATTACAAAAAATTCCAATGAAAAAGCACTGTGAAATATATCGATGCAGCTATGCAAAAAGATTAGTAAAATTTAGGGGGGAAGGGATATATACAGAAAACTGAAGCAGGGTCAAATTACAAAGAAATCATATAAAAAGAAAACTCTAAACTGTGTCAGGAAAGGGAAACTGTAGAATACACTGAAGCTAATACAGAATGCCAATAACAAAAAAGAGCCTTTTCAGATATGTGCAGTGGAAAACAAAAGATCAACTGCTTTGTATAGAACACAAAAGTGTAGCAGGAAACAAAGCAATCACAGAACTATCAAATTCCTATTTGGTTCAGTATTCTTCAACAAAATATGTATTCTACCAAGAAATAGTGAAGCACAAAATGAAAGACTAAACTTTGGGCTGATAGAACCCTGATAATATTGCTTTATTTTGAATGAGTTAAAATCTCTAGGACAAAATGGATCACTTCCTAAGATTGTCAAAGAACAGTAGACAAGATGACTGAAAGAATGAAAATCTGATCTTATTTACAAAAAACAAACAGGGTAGAGGAAGAACCAGGAGACTTCACATCTGTGGCTTTAATATTTGAAAATATTTTAGAAATAGTAAAAGTATAAGTGTACAAAACATTGCAAAAATTAGAAAATGCAGTAATTATCAGAAGTCATCATGGATTTGTTAATAAAGCCAGACTAACAAATCTAGCCAGACCCCGTCACTTTGTTTATTAGGTAATTTCCTTCATAAATTGCAGGAATACTATAGGTATATTTTGACTTCAGCAAAGAAGGTCAAAGTAATATGCTGATCACTTAAATGTGGGATGAATGGCATGGCAAATTAAATAGCTTGTAAACCATACTCAGAGCACTCATCAATGGTTTATCATCAAATTGAAAAAAGATATTAAGTAGGGTGCCACAAATATCAATCCTGGAATTTTACTCTTTTTTATTATTATTTTAAATGATGAAGTGAAGTGGAAGAAATGCTTATCAAATTTACAGAATAACAACAATTGGGGAATAGGTAATATACCACCTGAGAGAAATGAAATGAAAAACAATAATCAAGTAGATTTGAGAAATACTGGTATACTGTAAGTAACAGAATGAAATTTAACAAATATAATTACAAAGGTTTTCACTTAGAAAACCAAAATCAAATGCAAAGTTATAATAAGTGAGACAGGGAGTTTTGCTACCTGATTTAGCAAAAATACTTTCAAAAGAGGTCTTAGAGTAGTCGTTGTTTGAAAAGTGAATGATATAATTGCAAAGAAAGCAAAGGATTTGACTCTAATGAAGGCAAATTATATTTTAGGCTCCATCAAAAAAAAAGCATGATTTCCAAATCACAAGTAGTAATAACACAATTTTATTCTGCTTTAATCCTACCTCACTCCTACCCCAACTACTGTATCCAATTCTGGGCACTAAACTTTAACAAGGATCCAGACAAATAGAAACAGATTCAGAGAAGGGCATAAGAAACTAAAAACTATGAAGAGAGATCAAAGGAGGTGGGTATGGCTTTCTTTGAGTAAACATTATTTTGTGGGATGAGGATATGAAAGCACTCTTCAAATACTTGAAAGGGTAACACATCAAAGAAAGTCATATTATTCCTGTCTCATTCCAAAGTGCAGGACACGCAATAAAAGATTTAAGTTAAAGGAAGGCAAAGTACTGACTGTTAAATATAATCCTTAACAGTAACAGCAATTCCACAGTGATAGAACAATTAACCAAAGTGATCGTGGTTTTGTTAATGTGTTGAAGAGGAGGTTAGGTAGCAACTGGTTGTTTTAATTTGGATTCCTATGCATAGCAAAAGTTAAATCAGATGGCTTAAATGGTTCCTATCAAGTATTATAGTCAGGGACAGTTACTGTCAATCTTCTCGTCATGAAGTTACAAGGAACTGTCATAAATTATAAGTAAGGCTATGAAACAAAAAGTCAACCAGAAATGTCTGGAGATTAGTAAGAGCTCTGAGATATAGTAAGCTTCCTTTGGTAAGAATACAGATGTTTCAATAATCAAATATATTTTAAAGCTTAAGGACACTTGATGCAGCCATTTTATAGAAGGTGAGGAGGTTAGAAGACCTAGTCATTGCCTTCAAAGGACATCTACTGGTTGACATATACTATTTACATTCAACACTATTGAATTCCATGATGAAACAATGCCTCCATTAAATCAGATCAATGGTTAATATGGTGTGGCAGCAGCAATTTTTCAGGATTTACATATACTCAGAGAACTCAAGAGTTCTACAGCTAAAGCTGTAGAAAGCTGAAACTCTGAAATTTGACCTAAAACCTTAATTATGCAAAGCATGTACCTCATAATGAAGGTATGGCCAATTTTCATTAACAGTAATTAAAGTATTAAAGGCACAAAAATGAAATGAAACAAATTGCGTAGTAACAAAAAGCTGGTGTTACTACTGCAATTGAACAGTTCCTGATAAAAATTTGTTATACACATCATGAGATATAATTTTACTTTTCAAATACCCCCTTTCCCCAAGCTTACAAATCCAGCACAGTTGTCACAGAATGTCGGCTTTAGGTAAGTGGTCTCCTGGAAATTGTGGGCAAAACCAAGGCCTAATTTTGAATAGATTGAACTGGCCCTCATGAAATAGGCTGTAATTTCATCCCTGCTAATCAGACCTTCCCTGCAAACAAACAAACAAACAAAAAGGTCAATTGAGGCTTAATGCATCTAAAGCAGAAGGTGTTAATAGTGTATCCCCCCTTCATTTCAATTCAGCCACACATCTGCCAGCTCGTTTAATATAAAAGCCCTAATTCATTTTCACGGCAAAGAATATCTAGAAGTACATGAAATACACAAGCACACACCCTACACGATCCTGCCAAGGAGATCACAAAGCCTCCTTAATAGTTCTTCAAAACCAGCTTGAGAAGCAGCCTTCACAAAAAATCCTGAACATGCTATACAATTATCGAAACAAAGAAGTAGGCTGGGGGATAATTACCAGCACTGTACCTTCAAATTGCACTATATGAATTCTAAGTCTGACAGAGAGAATGAACCAGCTTAGAGGGGGAAGAAAAATGTACATAAATATAAAAGCATTTATAACCTCTTTCTCTAAGGTCAGTTATTTGAAACCAAGCATGATAAGCAAGATTTTCATTGACATTATCCAACAACCACATGAAGACAGTGGACAAGCTTTGTCAACTGGTCAAAAGCTCAAGGAATGATCTTGAAAAACCCATCCTCAGTGAGAATCAAAACTTAAGGCTTCAGAGAAGTTAAGAATAAGGAGGTAATATAAGTATGTACAATTCTGTATCACACAAGTCCAATGCTTTCTTTGAATAATGATACACATATAAAGCTAATCAGAAAACATGTATTAGTAAATACCTGTCCTTATCCATTACGCAAAAGGAGAAAGGAAAGCTTGCAGCAATCTTCTCAAATTCTTCTTGAGAAATATATCCATTCTGATCATGATCATAATTTTTAAAAACAGACTGCATGAAGTAATGGGAAAATAAGAAAAGCTGTAGTTGAAATAAATCAAATACCATTTGCCATTTTCTTAATTGACTAGGAAATTGGATTATATTGTCCACATTGTTCCAGTTGTATGAAATAGCATTTAATATACAAATAGCTATATAAATTTTGTATGGTTTAATTTTAAAATACTTTTTAGAATGGTATCATGTAATGAAAAAAAAAAACAATTTCTCCTTTTCTCTAAATTCATTAAAATTATCTGGCATTTAAGTGTGCTTCATTTATATGCAATACTTAGTTTCTGCACTCTACTAAAATATAGACTCTATATGTAGTCCTCTGCATAATATATAATACACAACATGCAGCCTAGGCAAGTACTTATTTAAAATTTTCATATAAATTTCTTAACTTGCAAATAACTAAGTTCTAACATCAAATGGTACAAATGCCTTTTTCTGCAGTGCTATTCCTTCTTTCTCTTCAATTGTTAAAATGCTGTTTATTTATTTGTATTCCACCTCTATTATTTTCATAAACAACTTATGGCAGTGAACGTATCCAACAAACCTTTCCTCATAACCACAATCCTATGAGGTGGGTTAGGCTGAGAGAGAGGAAATGGCCCAAAGTCACCCAGTCGCTTTTATGGCAAAGGTGCGACTAAAATCATGAAATATAAATAAAACACTCACAGTCTCTGCTTTCTAGTCTGGTGCCTTAACATTTACTCTCAGCGTTTATGCACCATAATTTTCAAACTACATTTTTCAAAGTTTTGTAGCCAGGTCTCAGATTTACAATTGTGCAGAGGGGGGGGGGGAGTGTTAATTTAGGTTACTCTGAAACTCATTTCTGTGGATTTGTGTCATGGGAAGCGGCTAGCAGAAATGTTCCTTCACATCAGGAATTGAGACAAAGGGTTAAACTACATAGCAAACAACATTTTATCATGAAGCCCAATGCCTAGATGGTCTAATGGTCTAATACCCATGGGGATGCTAGTACTGTATATGGATAAGGGTAGCCATATATTTCCTTTCATCCTCTTTGTTTGAAAGTGCTTTTATAGGGGTTTCCAAACAAAGGACTGGAATGAAATAAAGTAAATGAAAAAGAAGTTATTAAGATCTAGAAGCACAGCAATAGTATAAACATATTTTCTAGTAATATCCTAATGGAAATGGGAATTTTGCAATGAACCCCCATAATTAATATACTATAAATCAAGACTCAGAAGACTACACAAAACATTTATAATAAATAAAGTAGCATACTTACATCTACCATTCTCTGGACATGCTTACTAATTATCTTTGGATCAGGTTTGGGGGCAATTCCAGATGCCCAATCTGCTACAACTGGTGGTTTACAAGGTGTCAATGGCTAAAAAAGTAAAATATATTTGGATATTTATTGAGGAAAAGCATTCATAAATGTTTAAAAGCAGTTATACTTTTAGAATATTTCAATATTTAGTATCGTACTTCTAATCATTAATAAAGTGAAACTGCCAGATAGTTTGGATAACTCTATGTAATTATTTTCTCTTACATATTTTATGTAGAGTTGCTGAGAGTTGGGTGATAACATTCATTTAATTAATTAGTTTCCCATATTATCAACACTTTTATTAATACTCTGTGTCTGAAAATCTCAACCCAGAACAACATTGGATAGCATTAATTAGCCACTACCATAGAGCAAAATACCTCTTATGAAGCAGATTGTCTTTGAAAAAGGCAAAAATGGAGTTGCAAATTAGTGGATCATAATCTATCCTCATTTTTCAGCCACTTGTGAAGTCTGCACACTAGGAAACTGCCCTTCCTTTGTTTTTTAAAAATATTGTTTCTGAGGGGGCATATAACTAATGTCACCAGAAATGGAGGTATCACTGGGGAAAGGAACACTGCGAAAGTCACAAAAGCAAATTGCCCAATCCTCTAATACAAAGAAGACAATCGCTTTATTATTATTTATTATTTAAGACCTTCAGCTTTAGAAGATCTCTTAAGAATATATTTACAACCATCATTCCCTGCCATTATTACTGATGGTGTGAAGTTTGGACTAGCCTTTTCCAAGATACTGTTGATCTTGTGAAAAAGAAACTTTTCTTTTTCAGAAGTTGATCAGAAGTTCCTAAACTTAGATATTTTATGATTTGGGATATTTCGTATTTATGATTCCATTAGCACATGCAGCTCTTAGTTCTTGTTTTATAGCCCTTACAGACACTTCTGGTCAAGACTGTTGAAAATGATGGCACAGTTAAAGATTATTGTGTAACTATTAAAATATTTCACTAGCAGGGCAATATTTTTGGCTTGTACGTATTATATCTTCTGATTGTTATACGTAACAAATAAATCATAATTTAAAAAAATACCTTGAAACTCTACTTTCACATGCCTCTTCCCCTCAAAAAAGTTAAATGAAGTCTTTTTTCAGTGGAAGGTTCCCTGCTCTAGCAGACTGACTGACTATGAAAAGGTTTTGTTGTTATTGTTACTATTATACTTGGATACTGAATTGCTTTTGACTGCCTATTAAATTTTTCCCTCAACAGTACATACCTTAGTAGCTAATACTGCTATTGCAACATATAAATGTATGTTTGCAATATATAAGTACATTTATTTAATAATTACTATTATAATCTATATTAAATTATTATAATTGTTGGTGCAATAATAATTAAATTATCTCGACATCCTGTTTTGGAATAAAATTTCTTACTGCAGCCCGGTTACTTCTTGGCTCTCGTGCATATGAAAGTTCATAAATTTCATCTTCTGTATAGTAAAGGTCAAGTGACAACTGAAAATAAATACAAGAACAGTTTTACTTTCAAAATGCTATAGTGTTCTCCAAAAACATGTTTTTCTGAATCCAAGGTCACTAATTTAGGACAAACACCTAGATATCATGAGCCTAGACATTACAATTAAAAAATGAACACATTTTTCCAGCTGATATGATATCAGCAATTGACCTTACTCCCAAAGCAATTTTGTTCAAACTCTACCCTCATTTTAAGTATATTTTTTCTGAGGGGAAAACATTCTGGAAATGCAAGCAGTGACAAAATAGTTCGGATCTGCTTTGAGTGAAAGTTACCAACTTTCACATCTTAATAAATTACATATGAGGATTTCAGTTTCATGGGAGATAAACTTTCCAATTCTGTCAAATAATCTCCTGTCAGGCTTTATTCTGTGACATTTTCTCACATTTACTAGTTGCGATATCAGGAAAGACAACTATATAGTTCTCTCTGTTGTTCCTGATTACGATGATTTCATCACAATGAGGCAAGAAACGATCATAGGCAAATTAATATATAATTATCATTGTTCCTACATTATAGCAATAGCAGTTAGACTTATATACCGCTTTATAGGGCTTTCAGCCCTCTCTAAGCGGTTTACAGAGTCAGCATATTGCCCCCACAATCTGGGCCCTCATTTTACCCACCTCGGAAGGATGGAAGGCTGAGTCAACCCTGAGCCGGTGAGATTTGAACCGCTGAACTGCTGAACTAGCAGTCAGCTGAAGTTGCCTGCAGTACTGCACTCTACCCACTGCGCCACCTCGGCTCCTTAACCCCTTTGACAGCTCAAGCTGATCCAAAAAGAGGTAACTATATGTGTCTGTGAGTGAGTGAGTGTGCATTTGTGCATGAGAAAGAGATGGTAGGGGGGAAGGAGGAGGAAAGGAGGGTTTGAGTGTGTTAAATAAAAGAATACAATACTATATGTAGTGTAGTCAATTTAAAACTGTAATGTAGTCTGCCCATTACAGTTGTAAGTCATGACAATCATAAAATGGGCTGGTTATACGATCGACTTGACTTTATACCTTTTTTATAGTGATTGTTAAGCAATCCACAGTTGTGAAGTGAACATTGTAGTCATTAAGCAAACCAACTGTTCCCCAAAGTCATGGGTTTTTTTTTTTTTTTAACCAAAAACTAGGAGTTCTGTTTTTTACCAAAACCATAATAAAATGGTCATCAGGATGCTGAAAAGCATCATATTGCCAGGTTCCTGAAGTTTGATTGTTGGGGGATGGGCATCTGTTGAAACTTTAAATTCAGGTCATAAATCATCTCAAGGCAGATTTGTTGTATCTTTGAACCAAGCACTAAGCAACCAAAGGTAAGTCCAGGGCTACCTGTATAAATCCTAAATATAAAGTCTCTAATCAATTTCTTCCCAAGGAGCATGGTATAATTCTGCTTACTATTGTTAAGCTTAACCATAAGTGAAGTTCAAATGAAACCAGAAGCTTGTCATAGCTGCATTGGAACAGGAATGGGGATGAAGGAGACAGGAGAGGATAGACCATTCCTCCCCAATCTGTTGAATCCTAGGAGTTCTGGTCACAATGCACCGGAAGAGTACCAAGCTAGGAAAGACTAGAGTAATCATAATACTGAAAGTTCAGTCAGCATTATCTCTGGCCTAACTCAGGAAACTCCTGGTTTTAAATGTTAACTATTATGTGGATTCGTTTCAATAATTGAACTGAGCTTTAAAAAATATTGACAGCATTTTTAGAAGAGCAATATTAGTACTGTATTTTTCAGTGCATAAGATGTGCTCCCCACCCACCAAAAAAGTGGGTGGAAATGTCTATAAGACATTTGTCGTATAGAGCAAATGTTGCCGAAGCCCCACCCACCACCAGTCCCCACCCTTTACCCTCTGCCTCCCAGCAATTTGCTCCTTGCATTAAACAGGCTGATCAGCTTCAGCACAGCCTGATTTAGCACGAGCAGCTGATTGATGTTGGATCAGCCTCCAGGAATATCGCCTATCAGCTGTTCTTTTTTCTTGTTTTCCTACCCAAAAGCTAGGTGTGTCTTATAATCTGGAGAGTCTTATAGTCTGAAAAATACAGTAATTAAAATCCTATTTCATTTTTTACAAGAAAGCATTTGTATTTATACTCTCACTTAGCTTTACATTAGCTTTGTGGAAGATTACAATCTATTAATTCTGAGCAGGTATCATTTTCTGAAAATGTAATTAGAAAAATGTTTTTAGGATTTGCTGTCTTAGAGCCAATTCAGATCTTAGTACCAGAGTGTTATGCTGTCACAATCTGTTTTCAAAAGTTCAAAGCACAAAGAAATTGTACTAATAATTTTGAACCAGCTTCTTAGACTGATCAGCTACATGTGTTAATTACCTGTTATAAAGCTACTATCCATTCAACATTCACAGTGAGGGACCACTGACATGGATGTTAAGCAATGTAATTTAGGATTTCTATAATTCTAAACCTTCAGAAATCCAAAATAAATGAAAGCCATTTCTGTTACAGTTACAGTATTAAGCAACTACAGAAGCAGCTGGCTCATAAAGCAGTGGAACTACCAAGTATGTAGAAAACAAATTAACATTGTTTTTTTCAGAAATGAAAGGAATTGCTTTCCTATCTGTTAAATATTTGCATTGTACATAGTTGAGCATAGACTTTCAAAGTGTCTGAGCTATTTAAAATAGCTAAGTCTGGTTTAACTTTTAAAAAGGTGAAAGAAGGTTACATAAAACACAATCTATAAATAGAGACTTACTGTAAGGAGATGGACAAGATCTTTGTTAGCTTCCAGAGGGGGACCTATCTCTTGCAGCTGTATCAATTCATTGACATGATTGTACAAAGAATAGAATTTGTGCATATTAACTCTTTTATCTTCCAAGTAATCTGGCATAGCTTCATAAAGAGAAATTAAATCTTTCAGGTGTACACCAAGAATAGGGATTTTAAAGTTACTGCATTCATTATAAGTACGTCTGTAATTATCATAGTTCCTGCCAGATGAGAGCAATTCAGTCATTTCATTGAATATCTAAAGGCAAACCAACAAAAGCAAATTCAGTCAGCTTTGTTTATAATTTGGGATCACCTTAGTATAACATAATAAATAAATTACTATAGCAAGTTTGCAATGAAACACAAGTATAGCATCTATGTTTTGATATAATGCACAGTAATAATGAAGCATAATAAGAATAAATTCACAATCTTCCCTCCTTGGACATAACTGCGAGAAAGTGATTAAAAATCTCTGCTTCCAATTTAAATTAATCACTGCTACAGTCCATTGAAAGTCAGCCTCACAAATTAGAATTTCAGTAACTCATTTATCCAAATTAGTTAATCTAAAATTTGCAGTTCCTCTTTGCAGACTCATTATGACATATTCTGATATTATTATTTAATATCAAACGTTAATATCAGACATATATTTAAGCATTTTGCAATTGTATACCAGAATCCTAAACAATCTATTTTTGAAAATACAGTTTCAGTGGCAAACTTTGACCAGAACAACTTAATCATTATTTCCAAATTGCTTAATAGAATAATATTTTTAAATATTTATAAGGTTCACATCTTTATCATGTATTAATCTTTGACAACACATTGGTCAATGGTCTCATAGTTGAAAGATGGTGTATTAATTAAAACTCTGCAAATCATTCACAGGAATACATAACAAAATGGCAGAGATGTTGTCCAACCTGTGGCTCAAGATGTGAAATGACAAGATACCATCTCAACATGTGTGCATATATAACAAAGATGCTCCCAGTGGAATTGCCACCAAAATGAAGCAACTTGGCAAGAGGAAACAGTACCTAAACATTTGGCACAGCATGTTCAGAAAATTGGGGCTCACTTCGTCCAGTGTCTTTTTATATTGCTTACACACCTTTAATACTGATATTGTGAAATAAACAAAAACCAGGAAAAAGCACAACTAACCTTATAGATGTCATGAGGAACATGAGAACTTGTTTCTTTAAGTCTAGAGATGGAACTGTGGCAAAGGCCTCCTATCACAGCCATTAATGTGTTGAAATTTTGCAACTGGTAAAGTTTCTGTATTTTAAAAAAGCCAGTGCAATTGTTTGGTTAAAAAAAATATATAGTATTTTTGATTAATATAATTGAACTAGATATTATCCCAATAATATTTAAAGGAACTTTTTCCCAATACAGCATTAAATACCTTTTAGTCAGTGTTGTTAACAAAATTTTGTTCTGCAGTTATATAACCCCCTTGCTCTAAGTTAGATAAATGCTCTTTTTTTTAGTTTACAGATTTTTTAATGTTGACTCCCTCCACCCCATAGGAAACATGATCTGATAAGATAAAAGAACCAGACCTAGAATCAGTATCTAAAATAAACAGATGGATACCAAGCCACATGCTGCAAGAGATTCCTGCTCCCCTCCAGGCATATGTTTATCTTGTCCATTTCCTGTTCCTATATTTCTATGGACAGTGGTACCAATGTTCTTGGCAGCTTTTGTCATTTCTCACAATACAATACTCAGTATCATTCCATTCAGTCCCCAACAATGCTGGCAATGTCAGCTAAGTCTGTTTAAAAAGGGAAATGACTGATCACTGCAGCACTTCTAAAGACCTCTATTTAGCAACAGGCACTGATAGCCTTGAGGGGTATGATGGTGATGATGAATTGAATGTAACACCAATTATTAAATAAACAAATAAAGACTACAACAGATTGAAAACAATTCATAACAGAGCTGACCTGGGCCACATGAATGAACTTGATGAATACTTCAGCTCGAAGCTGTGGTGTTGGTCTATTTAATACCATTAGTTGTACCCACTGTGAAATTCCGTTACAAAGCGTGATTGAGCGTTCCATTGTCGGATTGTCCTTCACACATCCATTTATGATGTAGTTTTGATAATCTAGAAACTTCAGGTAAAATAATGATTAATTGACAACTTAAAACACATACAGTTTTTCATTAAATTATTCTATGTAACCTCTGCAGGTAATCCTAGATTTATAAGAGTTTGTTTAGTAATAGTTCAAAGTTGTAACAGTACTGAAAAAAGTAACTTATGCCTGTTTTTCACATTATGATCCTTGCAGCAACCCATGGTCACATGATCAAGAT